TACAGCAACCACGCCAAGTACATCACCTTCACGGGCTTCCTGGTTTACCCCGATATGGTCACCGACCAGCGGCCCTAACCTCAGCGGGGGGGCCACGGACAGAGCGGAGGGAGGGATTCGTGTCGCCGAGGGCTCTCTGGGTAGTCTCTGAGTGGTCTCTGAGCGGTCTCTGAGTTCCCGGGGATGAATGTTGCTTCTTTTGGCTCTTACCTCTTCATTCGAGCTCCAACCCAAAACCTCCAGGAATTCAGACTAAGTGCAACACATTAGAGAACAGCTCTGTCAACTTTTTCTGCCAATAGCTCTCCAGGACAAGACTCGCTCACCCTGAAATGTGAATAGTTCCCTCTGACAATGAAAACGTAGAATACAGGGACTAATGGCTCTTAAATACTAGTAAAAATCTTCAGCCTGGAAATGTTTTAAGGAGCTTCATGTGTGCAGAACTGGTCTCCATGATGCAGCTTAAGGTGATTAAAACTACAGTACTGTGCAAATGTTCCTCGGTTCCTCACGTAACGCCAGGACATGGGTCAGATTTAACAAATCATGTGCGAAAATAAATAGAAATGTAAGACTAAATTTGCACCTTTCCCCTCCACTCCGGACCCTCTCCAGTAGGAGCCTCCAGGAAAAGCTCTCCAGCTTCCTGAAGGACGTCCCAGAGCTCTTCTCTGGATGTTTAGCTGCCTTTGGCTCCGTTCTCTGTCAGATGATCCCACTCTTCTTCATCATGTGGAGCTCCGGCTCTGGAGGATCCATCCCTCCATCAGAGCTGCTGGGGTTCAGTCCACTTCTGGTTCCTGCTTTCATCCAGTTTCTGACCCACAGTGGGAGCTCTGGAACTCTTCTTTTAGCTCTATTTTGGTCATTTTGCCTCATTTTGCTTTGTTCTGGCATTTTTAGCTCTATTTTTGCTTTTTTAGCTGTATTTTTCTGGTTATTTTAAGCCTTGTTTTTTTTTACTTTTGTGATGAATATTACAAATTTTGCCTCGGTTTAGCTTTTTTTGTTGTATTTATGGTAATTTTTAGCCTTGTTATCCCTTTTTTTGGTGCATTAAAACACCCAAAAATGGTGATGTGAATCCTCAGAAATCCTGTTTCCTGTGTTTCAAACCGCGTCTTCTTGGCTAATTTTCACACATCACCAAGAGAAACAGGAACAAATGCTGTGTATTTGTAATGGGCTGCTGGTAACGAAGAGCTTAAAGATCCCATTTAAACGGCCGCTCAGGAGACACAACCCTGGCTCATCCCTTGAGCTGTGTTCCTCTGCATGTCTGAATGACACGCAGGTCCATATTAAGTTTCTTAAAACGGAAAACAAAACTGCTCAGGAACAAGAACTGGACTTCAAACCTTTGACCCAGAGGAGGCCTGGAGAGCTTTGCTGAAGATGACTCCTTATGAAAGATAACGACAACATCTGACTGCCTGAAAGCAAACGATAAAGAAGTTTGGGCTGAATGGGGATGTTTGCACAGTATTGTAGACTATTAATAGCACAATCATGCACACTTTACTTTAAATTCCTCCCAGAATACAAACAATCAAATATATTCCCACAAGTGTTCATTTAAATCTTAAAACTACATTAGAGTATTGTCATTTTTTACATAATTTGCATGAAAAATATTAGGGTAGAGGCCTTTTTTTTGTTTGTTTGTGTTATTATCGGTTTTCGGTTTAAAATTAAGTGCTGCATCACAGTTTAAATTTCCAAATCTTAGAGCCCCTTGGCATCTTGTTGTGAGGGGGAATTGGGTGGTCCCTTCATCGTAAAGCTCCAAGGGCTGGGAAATAAACTATCTTTAATCATAAAATGACAGATCACTGGCCCTAAATCCTAACAAAAAAGCACAAAAAAGGCCACCGGAGCCCTGCACAGCAGCAGGTTTCACTCTGAGCGAACAGAAGGAGAAGATGTAGCAGACCTGATGGACAGCGAATCCTCACAGAGAGTCAGACCACAGCTCCACCTCAAAACAAGAGGAGAACCATACCATGCAAACCACGCCACACGCTCCAGATCCCTGTAGGAAAAGCATCCAGATGCAAACCTTTATAAACCTAGAGTCTGACCATTCCCCCTCCCTTTAGGCTGGAGTAGGAAGTAGTGACGGACTATTGATGTAGACATTTAGTGGAGCTTGACTTGACATCAGGGTGCATGTAGATAATCTCAGAAACGTCATTTTTCCGTGGAACATTCCTTTAAGAGCTGTCGTTATCTTCGTCCAAGACTTGCTTGTGAGTAAAAAAGACCCTTTGTCTTTAGAGGCATGTGAAACTACTGTATATGAACTGTGTGTTTCGTGTCCAAAGTGGGTTGGTTTCTGGTGGAGTTTCTTGACCACCTGCCCCCCCCCCGGGCCCGCGGGGGTCTGGCTGTAATTTGATTTCTAATTGTAGCAGCGTTTAATTGGCGTCTCCGAGCGGCCACCGCTGAGGGGGAGATTGAATTGCCTCTCCCGGGCCGCTGTAATATGCATGTCCTCTTAATTTCACACCGCCGGGGGGGGGGAAAGATGATACTCTCTAAATTGCCGTGAACCTTGACTTTCATGGAATAACCTTCCCCCAGTGGAGGCGCCACGCTTCACTTTGCATTTTTTATTTGGAGCTGTGGGAGACGGGGCTCCATCAGAAATGAGCCTCAGCTCGGGACCTCAGGACCGGGGGGGGGGTTTGGATGGGAGGGGGTCGCTCTCTAAGGATTGCCACGAAAGAGAAGAGCTTCAGCTGTGGAGCCATTGTGAGGTCCACACTGTCAGAGACCTGTCTTTATCTATATCTATGTAGATTATCTATATCGATCAATAATTTTAGCCGTCTCACAACCAAATGAACAGATTTCTGATCAGTTTCACCATAAAAATGGAGAATCAAAAGCAGGAAGATGGCACAGATTTACACCTAAATCTGCTTTAAATTGAGCAAAATGTGTCTCTTTTGATTGATTGATTGATTGATTGATTGATTGATTGATTGATTGATTGATTGATTGATTGATTGATGAATACTTTATTGATCTCACAAGGAGAAATTAACTCAAATTAATTTAACTTAATTAACTTCTTTTGCTGTAGAGACTATAAAAACTAGAATACTTTATAGCAGAGAAACACTGAAATTAACATTTTCTTGACGTATTTCGCATAGAAGAAGAAGAATTGACCAAAATGTCTAAAAAGCTAAACAAAACACCAAAGATGACAGAATCTGAAGGCGGTTTGCTCTGGGAGGGGTGGAAGGCCTCGGCCTTTAATGCTAGAAATGCCCCCCAGTTCCCCCTCTGTCCACTTCCTGGACCTCGTTCTGACCCCCCCGGCTGCAGCGGCTCCTGAAAACGCCCCTCTGTGATGCATGTGGGTGAAAACGGGGAGAAAGCAGCCCCCCCCAGACGTTACCTGTGCTATCAGTGGAGTTTCTATACAGTGCTCAGAAATGTGTTCGACGTGTTTTGCTCTGTGCTTTTTTCTTCTTTTTTTGATTGTTCTGAAGGGAGGTTGTGTATTAAAACTGTACGCGGGTCAATTATTTGTACAAAAAATTTAAAAAAGGTACCATTTGTGGTCCCATAAGTTCAAATCGGCCATTTGGGGGAACAAAAGGCCGTTAGATGTTTTGACCCTGGTGGTGTTTTCTGTAGTCTGGAACCTGAAATACGTCTTATTTCTAACTGTAAAATGAATGCTTCGATGAAAACATTTGACCAAATAAAACAGGAAAAAAACCAAAGCTGTTGTTGCATCTGTACCACAAGCTGCTCTGAACAGAGATATTTAGCAGGACAGCGCCACCTGCTGGAGGCAGAAACTCACCCTCTAAATCACTCTGTCAGAAGTAAATGAACCCGAAAGCTCCAACCAGCCCCCTTAAACGCACCAGGGAAGACGAGTGTCTTTCATTTAATGAATAAATGCTTTCAGTTTAGAGCGACTCCTCCCAGTGAACAACATTTATGTCGGTTTCTCTCATCTTTCAGAGAGTTTTTGTCTCCATCTCCTGTATTCTGATGAAAGTCTGTTATACAGAGCGCAGCCCAAACTGAGACGTGGTCAGTCTGAGGAGGAAGGACAGATCCTGAATTAGCCTTCATTCTGCACCCACAGCTGCCCAGAAACACGAGATCATAATGACCATAAGCACACCTGCCGGAGGCTGTAGTCACATACACGAAGAATCATCCCATTTGTTTGGTCATATGGAAGAAAAAAAGTCTGTAAAAGTCCAACTGGAACTCACTTTCCTGTCATATTTACCCTGATTGGTCACATTTAGTTTTTTTCCCCCCCAAATTAGTTTATCTGTTTTTTCTTCAAGTAACAGTAACAATACAAATGTAAAAAGTAAAGCCAAAACACACACACTCACACACACAAAAAGAAAATAGATTAACAAGAAGTGAGTAAATGAAAGGTACAAACAAACTATGGTACAGGTGGGAGAAAGTGTGGGATTTTCTTACCTCAGTTTCTATTCAAATCACAGAATTCTGTTAAGGTTCTGTTCAGGATAAAAGCCAGTGAGTGTCAGATCTGTGCCAAAAGAAACTGAGGGCCTGTAACAAATTCCTAAAAGGATGACCATATATCCTCAAACACATCATGTTCTCCTTTCAGTGAATAAGTGATTTCTTTTCCATTGGCAAAACTTGGACAGTGTTCTCAAGCCAGCATTTCTCACTCCGGCGATTGCTCCCGTTTTTTTAAATTATTATTATCATTATAATTATTTTTATCGTTGATACTTTATGCACCTTTTCCTCTTTGTTTGCACCTTCTTTAATCACTAAACCGACCAGTGATTTTCTCCACTGTGAGATCAATAAAGCTTATCTTATTTTATCTCAAAACTGCAAACTCACAGGATGGAATGCCGCCACAGCTGGATTCCTGCAGCTGTCTGCACATCTGTCAGAGACTCTCCGGCTCAAATCTGTCCTCAGAAAACCTGGAGGTTTCAATCCCACTGAATAAACTCGTTTTTTTGGTCATCAGATACACAAAAAGAACACAATAAAAACATTAATGACTGTTTTATTAGCACTTTTATGTACAGAAATATGTCAGGGAGGAGGTCTGGGATCGGGAGTCCCAGCGGTGGGGGGGGGGGGCATCACTTCTTCTCTGGAGGGGCGTCTCCGGCCTCCAGCTTGGGGGGGGCCTCCTTGGGCTCCCGGTAGGCGGGGAAAACCTCCCAGGGCGTGTTGAGGTCGAACTTCCGGAACTCCTGCGACAGCTCCACGGGCTCGGCCACCACGCGCTTCAGCTCGTCGTCATAGCGCACCTGGGGGGGGGGCGGATCAGTTAGAGCCATGAGTCAAAACCCCCCCCACCCCAACCCCCCCGGACAGGCCAGGCACGGAAAACACAACAAAGCAGTGAACAGCAGAAGTTTTAGAGACTCCTGAAAACAGACTGCCGCATTTCAAACTGAAGAGGTATGAAGTCTGTTTAAAGGGAAATCTAAACCAAACTTTATTCATAAAGCAGCAGCGCAAAGGGCTTTATTTGATCAAATAAAATAACCCCCATCTTACTAAGAATAAATCTGTGTGTAAACAGATATCTGACCTGACACTGCAGTGAAAAATAGAAAGCCAATTAAAGCTAACATAAAAGGGCATAAACAAATTATTATTAAATAAATCAATTATATGTATACTATTAAATGAATAAATAATCAAATCTACTTCAATTCAGATATAAGCTGAACAAAACAACTGGATCCTCTTTCAGAGACCCTGAGGTTCTGAGTCCACAGTCCACAGAGGGTTGGGGTTAGAGTCAGATTTGGGGTTAGGGTTGGAGAATAGGGTTGGAGTTGGGGTTAGGGTGAAGGATAGGGTTAGACTTAGGGTCGGGGTTATGGCCTGAGTCGGGGTGGAGATAGGGTTAGGGTCGGGGTTAGGGTTTGGGTTCAGTATTTGGAATAGGGTCTGGGTCAGGCTCAGGTTGGGTCAGAGTTAGGGTTAGACTTAAGGTTTGGGTTAGGGGAGTTGGGGTTGGGGTCAGAGTTAGGGTTAGGGTCTGGGTCAGGGTTAGGGTCTGGGTCAGGGTCTGGGCAGAACCCACCTCCACGTATCCGGACAGGGGGAAGTCCTTCCTGAAGGGGTGACCCTCAAAGCCGTAGTCGGTGAGGATGCGCCTCAGGTCCGGGTGGTTGGCGAAGAACACGCCGTACATGTCCCACACCTGGAGACCAGCACAGTCCTCATCAGGCTCCGGGGGCCGGGGGGGGGGGGGCAGCCCCCGGGGCCGCCGGCGGGGCGCCACTCACCTCCCGCTCGTACCAGTTGGCGGCCATGTGCACGGGCACGGCCGAGTCCACCGGGGTCAGCTCGTCCGTGTAGGTCTTCACGCGGATGCGCGAGTTGAAGCGCAGCGACAGCAGGTTGTACACGATCTGAGGGCCGGAGAGGGAGAGTCGGCCCCCGAACAAACGCCCGGGGGGGCCCCGAAACACCCGGGGGGGCCCCCAGAACGCCCAGGCCCAGAGGGCCCCCGGTCTATGTTTTAGGCCTGAGGAAGACTTCAGGACTAGCTGAGCACAGGTCAGATTTAAGGGAGACTTTGGATGTGTCCAGCTCCTTCTGGGGGGTCCTGAGGCATTCTATTGTCGGGTGGAGTCCGAAGAAAGTTCTAGGTCTGGTCTGGGACCTCCAGTCTGATGGAGGAGCCTTGACCGCTCCAAAAGTCAAAGACCAGGAGCTAACTGACTAGAAAATAACTGACCAGGAGCTAACTGACCAGGTGCCAAAACCCAGTACACTTAACTATTTTTTTTTTCTTTAAGAAGCAGCTGCTGTTCTCCATTTCCCCTCCAGATGGTGCAGCTCCTCACCTTTACTGCAGTTTTAAATGGAATCTAAGCTGTTAAAGGTAGTTTTCTTCTGGCTACATAAGCCCATTAAAACCTTTTTAAGTTAACAGACATTTTTTCCTAAAATCACCCAACTTAGAAACATCACGTCTAAAGTCAGAATTAAAATCGCCTGAAAAACTACAGGAAAAGGAGGTTGTGTGCAAGTATCCTTAAACTGTAAAGGTCTTATAAGTGGATCCTGGGAAACCAAAAAATCAATACAATCACAAGTTGGGCAGCTAGCAGCTGCTAACTAGCAGCGACTTGCAAATTCATAGTAGGCTAGTCCCGATCCGATATCTGGATCAGATCGGCTGCCAATATTTGCAAAAAAACTGCGTATTGGCCGGCAGGAGAAAACAGATCCAGACTCCAGATCCAGTTTCTTTAGCATTAGCATTAGCATCTGTAACCCACAGGTCTGTGTCCTAACCATTAAGTTGTTAACAGAGTAAATCCCTGTTCAACATGAGTCTGACAACTAAGTAAGTAGATAAATAACTTTAGACTTTAACTCATGCTCTGATAGGCCGGGATAAGGACGTCCCTTATTAATAGGATTATAATTAAACCTGCAGCCTGACTTAAATTGTCCCTCACAGCTTTGGGGGTGCGTGCGAGCTACCTCAAAGCGGTTCTGCCTGGTGGGGATGTCCACGGCGGTCAGGTCGATCATGTTCCTGAACTGGGCGTTGGTGTGGTCCCTCATGAAGGTCAGCACGGGGATGACCCCGTCCGGGTGGATCATCACCTCCAGCTCGTTGTAACACGTCACCTACAAAAAGATTTATTTAAAAACTCCCCCTTTAAACCGGAGCCCAGAGGCTGGCCTCCCCCGGGCTCTGGGGCCTGGACTCACCTGGACCTGCTGGACGTATTTGGGCATCATCTCAGCCACGTACTCTCCAAACGCTGCCAGCTGGTTGTGAGCCACGCCATCTTTGGGCCTGACGGTGGCTGAGCAGAGGACAGGGGACCGTTAAGCCCCGCCCACACGTCACACGCCCGCCAAACAGCCAGTTACAGCATGAGGAATCCAACCTAACGTCTCCTCTTCTGGTTTAAAGAACATCTGATTTCCTCTGTAAATGCCCTTTCATTTTCAATGGAGTATTTGGTCTTTTTTTCCGGAGTATCCATGTTTTTTTTAATATACAGAGACACCTTAGCATAGAATTTGCCTCAATAATACATTAAATATTAAGTTAGATATCAAAGACTGTCATATGACCCAAAAGCTCCAGCTTTCGTTGGTTTTACTTTAGGGTGGAACTTTCTACAGACCAAAACTAATGACATGCAGCTGTGTGCAGCACTCCTACTTTAAATACATAATAAATGTAAAGAAAAATACACTTTTTGCTCTTGAATTCACCCAGACGTGTTGATCAGATTAAATATGTCTCTTAACTGTTAATATTTTATCAGAAAGGAGAAAAAAAAAGAAAAAACCTAAACAATTAGTATGATGGGATTTCTAAAGAAGTTTAAAGCTCTGACAGACGTACAAACCAGTTCTGGTTATCTGAGTAAATAATAGTGATGCTTCACTTGCTGGAACAATGTGACATCTTAATTTTTACCATATATGACAAATAAATGCAATCAATCCAACTAAAACCTGATTTATTAGATATTTTCTTCATTTAACAAATCAGGACTTTGTCCTTTATTTACACAAATGAAGAAACTAATTCTCCAAAATATTGTGATGAAATCCTAAATGTGTTCTACTGAAATGTTGACCAAATTGTATTTCCATTTGGTCTCAGTGGGTAAAAACACTGAATTGTAAGCAGGTCTATATTCAAATAGCTCTAATCCTGACCTGTTATTTCTCTGTGTTTCAAACGGTTTAGTTTTAAAGTCCCCTTGAATAAATAAGAACCAAGTTCTTGAGATGGGACTCACTTAAAACTGGGCACACATTTTTAAATCTGACCAACAATAACTTCTGGACTCAATGCTCAAAAACAGGTAAACTAAGGGCCGGCAGCCTCGGTTTAGGGTGAACTCACGGCGGGACTCGGTGCTGGAGCTCTGGGCTCTGATCTGCTGCTGCAGGAGACACGAACTCCTGGAGACTGAGAGGGGACAAACAGAAATGAGGAGGAAACCTGGCTGTCAACACACCCCTGGCGTTTAAACCCAGAGCCCCCCAGAGGAGCTGGGGAACTTTGAGCCACACCAAACGATAATAGAGTCAAACGTAACACAATTATACCCCAAAACACAGCCGTTACTCCCCACTACTGTCACAATAACAACACGCCGCCATCCTGGGCTCAGTCATGTAACGGCTGCCTTTAGCTAGCTCGAAGGTCAAACCGGAAACACTTTGACTGTTAAAATAATTTCACGTTTCTCATTAATTGTGTGGTTGGACGCAGAATAAAATAAACTACAGCCACTGACAGTCGGTTTCACCAACAATGGCTTCAAGACAGCTTACTGTTCAAGCTCCTTCCGAGTCCTCCGCGGACGAGCCTCACCAACGACGCCGCCATGTTTGCTCGAATGGAGAAGAAGAAGAAGAAAATTTGTCTTCGGTTGGAGCAGCGAGCTATCGCCCCCTAGCGACCACTAAAGGAAACACACCCCAAAAGGACGGCAAATGAATCCGGTTGAGGCGCCGTTTAACATTTAGAAATAAATATTCAAAATATATCTAAGATGACAAAAAATTGAGATTGTGCAAAAAGGGGAGTCTGAAAAATTTACACCGTTTTAAAACACTGTTTTAAGCTAAATGTGACAAAAAGTTGATGACATTTTCAGCACAGTCAGTTTTACAAACAGCGCCTCATGTCCAGTCCTATTTTAAACAAATAGGAATAAAACTAGCATCAAGAGAAGAAGTACATGTATTAATCACAGGCTAAACTGCAATGCTCTCATTATAAATAATTATTGGTTTTCTTACCATTTAGTTAGATTTTTTCCTTCTCTCCATTACAGTGCTGTTTCAGTACAGGAAAGAGCTGTGTTTGAAAAGTTCACGGGAAATTAAGCTCTTTTTTAAAAGAATACTTGATCAATAATTCATATCGTTATAGACATAATTTCTTGTAAGATTTTTTCTTATTGTTGTAAAACTGGAGGCGGCTTCATAAATCTCAGATCGGCCTCTTAAACCCAAGTGTTTCAGTGATTGTATACAAAGAAATGTAGCATCCCACAGTCTCTGCATGTTGCAAAGTAAGTCACAAATACAAATGTAAAACAAAGAAGATACAAGCATTAATTCTGTATATATGTCTCAAACATTTATTTAACTTCATTGTCATAAGGCCACTGTGGAAATATTTAAAATTGCAATAAAACTTCAATAATAAACACAATAACATCTTTGTTCAATGTTAATTGAAATATCCTTCACCCAAAAGCATGCAGGTTGTTTTAGTTTCACAGATATTAGCTGACAAAATAACAACGTGGTTGTTCATGAAGTATTCAAGGGTTTGTTTAGCAGAAAAATGACACTTTAATACAAACTTCTACATCTTAAAACCCCTATTTTGCCCACTGATTTGTCATAAATAGATTAAAAAAACCTGCTGATTCAACTAAAACACTGTGAAAGCAGCCATGTTTGATGGATGTGAGTCCGTTCCTCCAGCCCGCTGGGCTCTCAGCCCGTCTGACCGCACACCTGCTGGTAGTATTTCCGGAGCATGTCCAGCTGAGCGGCGCGGACCAGGACGTGCGGCCGAACGGAGGCCAGCTTCTGACAGGCCTGCTCTGGAGTCCAGCAGTGCAACTGAAAACAAGCCCGCACAAAGTCAAAACCCACAGACCGAGGCAGCCAAATGTACAGTACAACCTCAATAACAGAGTCTAACTGGTTCCAGGAGCGACTTCTGTGTTAAATATTGGTATGTTGGTTCAAATCTTCCATCAGAATACACTGTAATTCCTAAAATTAGTTCCAAAAACCTACGATAACTCATTAATAAATACTGCAGATAATTACACATAGCAAGAAAACAAATGACTTCTAGAAGAGAGATGGAAAAAGAAATAAATGATAAAGAAATAATCACTAAAAAGGGTTTTTATTGTCCCTTTAGCTCAGAGACTGAAGAACGGAGGTAGAGGTGGAGACTGAGATACACGACCAACACTAACTCACTTTGACTTTACTACAGGAACTTTAAACCAACTTAGCTTGGTTATTTTTATCTTATTTTTATATTTTATATATATTTTTCTATGACTGTCGTATGTTGCAAATTTCTTTCGGGTGTAGAGTTGAAAATTTGATCAAATTTCACTTCAGATGTTGGAAAATTTGTATCTTTAGACATCGTAAGCAGAGGTTCTGCTGTATTTCATCTCAGTTTCGGGAAAATATGCTAAATCGAACTGTGTTGTTTGGTAAGAAACTAAACTGATTTCCTAATTTCTCTGAGAGGCCCATAGCATCGGCCTAGGGATGTTACTTTTGAAGCTAAGTGCATTTGAGCCCCAAGTTATTTTGTCATTTTAATTCATTATACAGGACTGAGATAAATGACAAACCCTAACTTACTCTGACTTTACTACCTGAACTTTAAACTAACTTAGCTTAGTTAGTTTTATTTAATTTGTATTAGGGATGTCCCGATCAGATCCCGATCCCGGCCTATCAGAGCCTGTACTAAAGTTTAAAGTTATTTATCTACTTACTTAGTTGTCAGACTCATGTTGAACAGGGATTTACTCTGATAACAACTTAATGGTTAGGACACAGACCTGTGGGTTACAGATGCTAATGCTAATGCTCGTGTAGGATCGGACTTTAAATAAAAAACTGGATCTGGAGGCTGGATCTGCAAATATGGGACCAGCCTACTACAGCCCAGTAAAACCTCACACTTTACAGGACAAGAACCTGCCCTGGCACTGACCCGTATGAGGTAGGCGGCGGCCAGCGTGGCGCTGCGGGAGCGCCCGGCCTTGCAGTGCACGTAGACGCTGGCGCCCTGCTGCCGGTGCTGCAGGGCGAACTCCACGCCGCGGTGCAGGTTCTCCAGGCTGGGGACGCCCGTCAGGTCCACCGTGCTCAGCCTCAGCTGCTCCACGCCGGCGGCACGCCACTCCTGGAGCCGGACAGCACACATCTCTGACCACTCTGACACAGCTAAACGGAAAACTAGTTCCTAGAGTTCCCAACATGCCGCCCAGCTCCTGGGCCAGTCTCTGGACAGTAAAACCGTTACAGATGATCCAGAACTTGGAGTCTGGTCTTCAATCAGCCCAAAAAACCCTCTGTTCACTGAGCTTCACTGGTTACCCCAAGTCCCTGATGCCTACAAAGTGCTTAAAGAGCCAGCTCCCATCTAATTGAACCCTCTTGCAAAGGCTTTGCTTTGGATAAAAGCGTCTAAATGGACCCTCTACTCCTCTTTCTGGGCTTCCCTCTATCTCCTCCTGTCTCCACTGAGTCTGACTGGGGGTTTTCCTCCAGAGAGCTGATTGTCATGTTGAAAACTGTAAAATTGTGTCTACTTTGTAAGTGGCTTTGGATAAAAGCGTCTGAATGCAGAAACAGAAACGTCACCCAGAGCTTCCTCCACAGGTCTCATCCACCGGCCACGTTTCAAACCCAGCAGGTCTTTAAAGGCTGCAGTAAAACTGAAGTAAAGCTTTTATCTGCATCCTCAGCTCAGCCACAAACACACACAGAGACTCACCTCAGCCGAGTTGCAGAAGTATTTGGTCTCGTATTTTTCGTTCATGGTGATAACTCCTCGAACGTTTTCCGTTTCCACCAGCTGCCACAAAGAGAAGAGCCGTTATCAGCCTGTGAGCCCCTCCAAAAACAGCAGCCTGCCATGTTTAGGCCTCAGATTAGTGGCCTTCTTTAGGGCACAGCTGATTCGAGTTCCAATGGAAACCAAGCACTCTTACATCTTACACTTAGACTCAACTTTATTTGTCCCTTTACTTACTCCTTCAGGAAAACTCTGGTTCCATTAAAATATAAATAAGTTGAAATCTCAATGCAGAACTGGTCAAAGGAGACCCTAAAAACTGGTAAAAACCAGGGAGGGCAGCTTTAGACACAATGGGGGTCATGCATGTCCCGGTTTACAGCTATTTTTTTAACCAAAACTGTCATTTTAACTGAAGACCTTTACATCAAGAACTTTAGCTTTCTATTTTTCAATATTAAATCTAAAGCTTAATCAGGCATTTTAGGGGGAAACGGGAATACGTTTACTTCCTTCCTTCTACCAAATTAAAATGTAACTTTCTCCTCAAAGTCAACCATTATCCACACAGTTTATGGGCTTCCTGCACACTTCCAGCCCACATCCCGGTTCCCCGGTTCCCCGGGGGCAGCCTGACCTGCTTGGTCATGGACCTGAACGGCAGCGCTCCCAGGAGGACCGTCTCGTCCACCCGGTCGAACCACCGGCGGGAGGACACCTTCTCCATGACAACATTGTAAGCTAGCGTCGGGTAGAAGAGCAGCCTGGCTAACGCTCCCGACATGGCGGGACACTTTGGCTCAAACAGCGGAAACAAATTGAGATAAATAAACTCCAAAACTCGGTCAGTGTCTCATTGCAGCTCCTTCTCGGGTTCAGGCCGCCTGGACCTCTAACCCTGAGCCCTCTGACTCGTTTTGCGCTGCACGCTGGATTTCAGGTTTCCACTTCCGGCGGTTGGTTAACGGAGGCGGAACTACTTCCGGTGGGGACCCGTCAAAATAGGGCCAGCGGATTCCAGAAATGTGATTAATCGAAATAACAGAAATACGCTTTAAAATTAGAAAACAACGCAGACATTTTACATACTATTTCTAGATATTTGTTTAACACTTAAAGCTTCTGTTATCTTCCTATCAACATGCCTAAAGCGTTATTTTAAAAAGAATTTGACACTTCATATAGTAAATGACGATTACTATTTCAAACACTTAATTAATGATCTGTAATATCTCTTTAAATCCATCGCAAAATAAAAAAGAAAAAGAAAAAAATCCACTGCACGGGGATTTATATATCATTTTGTCCCAAATTCAGTTTATTGTGTAATCAGAAATCAGACAAGGAGACCTGGCTCCAGAAGGCTTCACGGGCTGTTTTTCCACCCCTTCAGAAGACACTTTAATTCATGACAAACTGCTACTGGAAAACACATATGTTGGCTAATTGAGGCTTAGCAACGTGTCCCCATGATCATTTCACATTTATGTCATCAGCCTGGTGAGATGGTGCGGGTTGGCCCCTCTTTCCAGTCTTCTGAAGCTTCAGACTGGAGAAAACTCCCCTTTGTTTTTTCTTTCTAGAACCAAACTCAGGATGGAAGATGAGATAAAAGAGATCAGCTCTCAATCTGTTAGTTTCCCTTAAATTGGAAACCATTTTTTAAATTAGCTCTGAACAAATTGTAACAATTTGGAACATAATGAACTGGAATTGAATGGAATATTTCTGTCTTTAATGGAATATTTTGTCTGGATTCTTGCTGCCTTGTACTGGACTACTACACCTTTAAAGTACCTAGAAGAGATATTTTTGACCTGATACTATAATTGAATAACTGAATT